TGAGGGAAGGAAGGATCGGCGACAATGTTCTTGACCGAGCGCTGAGGATCGGCGGTGATAAGACAGATACTTAACGACGGCGAGGCATTGAGGGAGTGTGGAATGCTGATTTTTCCGGGTTTCAAACGGTTCTTGTCGACAACGTGCTTCTTCGTGGTGAGCACAAGCCAGATCGCCTCATTTTTCAGCGCAGTGTCTTCTTCCGAATCTTCATCGTCGCCAATAAGTGTCTTCTTTGTCGCTGTCTTTTCCTGCTCTTCCTGTTTGGACTTGATGTGTTTCAAGAGTGCGGAAGACGCTCTAGCGACCTAAATGATTCGTGATTAGTAAAGAACTGGACTGTGAGGGTTACGGGGTGGTAGACGCGGTGACATACTTGGCTGTTTTCGAGCTGATAGGGAGACCCAGAATCCACTTTCGTGGTGAGCGCTGTCGAGGACACCATTTTTTCAATCTAATCGACTGCCGTTGCAGAATTCGAATATCTCAGTTTCTGCGATAAAGGAAATCAAAAAAATTCACGGGAAGGCGGTAGGCAAATTTGTCCGGTCTTGGCATGGACGTGTCTGCTTAGTCATGTCCCTCATCAAAATAACGTTAGTCAACTAGCACCGGACATCGATTCACCAGCAAAACTCATGGTTTTCTAAACTTTGGAAACATCCTGAGAATTCATCTCTAGGTGATGAAGCTCTTATATTCAACGAGAAACGGAGGCCGAAGACACCAGTTGGTGCCTGTCCTCTCTTGCGATATCCGAGGTGTGACTAGGATAAGCAATAATCTGGGTGCTGGTCATATGCCCGAAGGTATGCTTCAGTCGACATACTTGAGATCTCCTACAGATCATGCAAGCAAGGCCACCCTATTCACGGTACGATAAATCTGTGCCTGTCCTTCGGAGAATGCTTCTGGCTCTATTTTTCCAGCAAAGAACGTCTGACTCGCATATATATGTCGCAGGGATGAACATACATATATACAACTGAGCCAGGAGGACAACCACTCTTTGGACAATCATATATAGCTTATGTAGTTTACAGGTCAGATATCAGCATCGACTTTGCCCCAGTGAAAGCCATGTTATCCAATGTTTGGCGTATCCTAGTTCATCTTCCATCGTTTTGTGCTCATGAATGATCCAAGTATGAGCGTCTTGCGTCCAACATCGGCAGCTGTCTGAGTCCATCTACGACTGCGCCTGCCACCGACAGGCAAGCTGACTGGAACTGTGGCAAGATCATCAGAGAGATACGTTATACAGATACTCGATAGATGTGAGCGGTATAAATATCAGCGATATTTGCCTTTGTGTCACCTCATAGCTCGCTTTCTTGACAGCTACTGCGGGGCAAGTGATGAAACACATTTGTGGTAGGGGCTTGGGCCATGAATAAGGTGTTTACTGCATGGATCAGAAGACCTGATCCTTCAATCAGTAATCACAGTAACACTCCTATTCCTCATCAGAACATTCGGAGTATAGTGCCGTAGCACAGTAGCCTGGTTTAGCCTTGAGTGTACTATTCCGAGCAAAATATATCTACAGGCGCTTGGAGGATGTCTGACGAGCTAATGAACTTAAACTAGAATAATATTACGATTGACGATTTGTTTACGACTACTCGCATGGCAGATCTAAAGAGTATCGACGAGATTTGACAGAGGCAAAAGACTCATCTAGTTACTTGATTAAGTAACTCTGGAGATCCCCCCCTTAGTCTATCCTATCCACATGTGAGGGAAAGGCCTCGAATGTACCGGCAATGGGCATGAGTGGCATTTGCTTCGCCAATGCAACTTCTACAAGAGAAAGAGGCCGCAGGGAGGAAGACCGGCTTCGAAGCTTTATCTTACATATATATTTAACGGCTGGCTATATATATTGTTACCTGGCTCGTCGGCGACAGATTCAGTACGTTGGTGTTATTGAAGCCAGTAAGGTAGTCCACTAGCGGGAAACTGGGCTTCAAACTTTCGTAGTCAAAATTAGCCCTAGATTTCGATCTTGATATTCATACTTACAGGTCAACCTATTCCTGGCAAATTGATATCTACTCTGTAATGCTCTCAGAATGGCCCCGCACTACGAGTAGAAGCAAGAATGTTCCGAAACGTGGGCAACGGGGCAGATGACTAAGTTACCGCCCACCACGTCTTTGTACAAGTCCCCCACGTACTCGGCAGCCAGCAGCCTTGGTCAACAGTCATCAGTAGCAGCACGAACAAGGGAGATTTAAAATATCGCCTGCGAAAAAAAGAGCAAGCCTGTCTGCGACATCATATATTAGGGGGAAATGGATGCTCATATATTGACCAATTGCTGGTTAGGTTTCTAAATCACCTTCGTAACTCCATCAACTGTGTTGCCTAAGGTAGGCTGGCCCTTGTACCCACACCATGGGGCGATTTTGGGTGTTCACCTACAGTACTTCCTTCACGGGCCATATGTAGATAACAGGCACGCAGGAAGCTGCATGAATCAGTCCCTATATTTTGAGAAATAACGAATATCACCCCGTAAATAGCCCGCTAGCTCAAGATCGGGCAGGATCACTAAGGTCTTAACCAATCATCTAGAAAATCGTCTAATCAAAAACTCCGTAGTAGGTACTAGAGGTAAGGTGCAGGAGGTATCTACGTTGCCAGGACCAGCAGAGATTGTGCGGATGGGAAAGGTAAGACATGTTCAGAAATTCAGGTCGTTAATCCAAGCCGTCAGAATGTTTCTCGACTATCAAAAGTTGAGTCGTGGTCTGGCGACCTGCAACGTCCGATCTGCTCCAGCTAAAGTATTTACCAAGGGAAACTATTGAGTTTTTATCACTCAATCCCAAGATACCTTAGGAGGAGTCTAGGCCTCATTCACCAATTGGATTGTTATTCCATCTGCCACCAAGTTCGACTTCCTGAAAAGTAGCGCTTGAACTTCATATTCTATTTATTTTTGTCGAAAGTTAGATAGATACTACTGGAAGAACCATCCCCTATTTTGTGGGAGCGTGAGGAAGTTTGGATCCAATGCAGATCGAAAGTGGATTTGTTTCCACAATCCGCGTTTCCTCAGTCGCTGTGTGTGGTTTGCTGCTTTTATTGAAAAGTGCAAGTACACTCCGCGTCATGGCCAAAGCTGGATTGACCCTTTTTTCGTCGCCGTTTTGATTGTCGCATTATTACAGAAGAACTCACCTGACAACTTGCTGTTAACTTGACATCACTGTTCCTCCTGCAATACTGCCAACATATTTGCCTCGCTGTATCATCAATGCCAGCCAGGACCAGGTACCTTGCATATGCAGTCATGCACATCAATCAGACATGAGACAACAACGCCTTGGACTGCTGCTGGGAGTGAAACCTTACGGCGATGGGATGGTTTGAGCAGCCATCTGATTTGTGATTGGTGTGCCTGGCTCGGGGGTTGTGCCAGATTTTGCACGGCCTGTGCCAAGGGTTCCAGTGTGATTGGCCAGACCTGACCATGGTAATTTCGGCAAACGCCAAGCTCAAGCCGACAGGAACAGGAAACGAACAAACATCACACACGGAGGCTAGATAACTAGGTAATTAGCTACTCCGTACAGGTCAAAAGTAAAAGGATATGACCATCCCCAGCAGCAACCCCTTGCCCAGAGTCTAGTGGAGATGTTCCAGTCTTCGAATTCTGGAGTTTAGAGGTCGGGATTCTCGTGTTTAAGGGGAGGCAACTCGGCTCTCAGCCACTTGTACTTAGGTAGAATTTAGATACCTACTTAGACTACCGTAGTAGTCAGGATACGCACCACAAACTGTTGTAGACACGTCGGCGTCCCCACTGTGGCTGCTAATCCAAGAGTATCTCACGTTGTCCATGGATGATTTCAGAAGCGGGTTTCTAACCTTGGGTTACCGACCTTTTTCTCGGCGAGCGTACCCCTGATGAAGGTATGACCAGTAATAAGACGTACCACACCAGTCTTACATCAGGCTCATTTCCGTCAACCATTGATTTGAATCTCCCTACAGCCAGGTACCAACTATCTCCAGGGCGCTAAGAAAACAACAACAGTAACACGAACAAACGGGAGGGCGCCAACTGATTTACTATTGACTTCGTACTATGGAGATCCGTACAGTACTATCTAGTCTGTATGCCTGGAGCCTTTGACCCCATTAACCTTCAGTCTTTCTCGCGGAGTGGGGCCCCCTATTTCTATTAGCATGATTATTATTATGATTAATTTAACACTTACAGTAGTAGTCTTATTGACTATCAGCCTTTCTGTCTCTGTCCACTGTTTCCAGCGGCAGTGCCACCCACACACTTTCTCTTTTTCAGCCCCCTGGAAGGGTCTGCAGTCTGCACTTACGCCTTGTCCCGTAGCTTCCCCTGGACCACTATTATTGACTAACAGTCTTTCTCTGACTCTACTTACTCCTCTTCAGTCCCTTTGATTCCCTCCCTTATTTTTCTCTCTTGCGATCTTACGTTCCTCCAGAGAACCTTGTCTTCTCCGGCTCCTGTCCTTGTTTGTGAGATTCCTATCCGACCAGAGGGACTTGTCTTCTCTCTCGCACGCTCTTTTGGGAACCTCGTCTTCACTCTTTGAAACTCTCATATTCACTTCTAGGTTTCGACCTTTTGTTGCGACCACAACTTTCTATACCAAGTCTTACCACACGAGCGCGCCTGGGCACTTGCGACATTGAGGTATGTGCAATTGACCCTCTTGCATCCTTGTCTGCTTTCTAGATTTGCACCACATTAGATTGTGGCACATCCGTGTTCATCTCTGAAAGGTCTGACTCTGAGCCGCGAGGCATCAGAGACAGCAATAGACTCTTATGTATCTGTGCCAATGGCGCTTGTTGCATTGAGTGTATGAGAATCTCAGTGATCTAATGAACTGGATGCCTTACAACTCATGTCTCTGAACTCATTTTCTCGCTGGAGCGTACGCTAATTGGCATGGCTATAAGATTACCGACATCTTGGGCGCGATATTAGGGACGTGAACACAATGAAGTTCAATACCGTTGCTCTTACTCTCGCCACGGCGGGTTCCCTGGTGGCCGCTCAACATCACCACCAGCATCGTCACCACCAGCACAAGCGCGAGAACGTTGTTGAATCCGGTACCACCGTCGTGCAATACGAGCTAGACGGAAAGCCGATTCCTCTTCAAGAGGTGTGTGCCGGTCTGGCTGATGGCACTCTCAAGTTTGCCGACAATGACCATCCTACTGCCGTCTGCGACAACCTGAGCAGCTCCTCTGCTCCTGCCTCCACGCCTGAGGTCACCCCCACATTTGCCCCGGCCAAATTCATCGAACTCTCTTCCGTTGTCACCCCGGCCTCCTCGACCTCAGCTCCAACTTCGGACGCAGTCCAGACCCCTGCCGCCTCTAGCAGCTCTTCTGCCAGCTCTTCCACCGCCACTGGTTTGGATGCCGACTTCCCTGATGGAGAACTTGACTGTTCTACCTTCCCATCCGAGTATGGCGCTGTTCCTCTTAACTACCTCGGTCTCGGCGGATGGTCTGGTATCCAGTATGTCTCCTTGGCCGACAAGGTTATCAGCGAAATTGTGACGGCCGTCACTGGTGATAGCTGCACCTCTGGCGCCATGTGCTCCTATGCTTGCCCGGCTGGTTACCAGAAGTCTCAGTGGCCTACTACCCAGGGCTCCACTGGCCAGTCTGTTGGTGGTATTGAGTGCCGTAACGGAAAGCTCTACCTTACAAACCCTTCTCTTTCAAAGAAGCTCTGCATTCCCGGCGTTGGAGGTGTCCACGTCCAGAACACCGTGGGCGAAACCGTCTCTGTTTGCCGTACCGACTATCCTGGTTAGTTTGACCTTTCACGACACTTTATCCTGTCTAACGAAAGCTTTCTAAGGTACCGAATCCGAGACCATTCCCCTTGGCCTTGGTGACAATGAGCTCCAGCCCTTGACCTGCCCCGATGGTGAGACCTACTACAAGTGGCAGGGCAAGACAACCTCTGCTCAGTATTACGTTAACCCTAAGGGCGTGTCCCCTGAGAAGGGTTGCCAGTGGGGCGATGGCAGCCTGCCCATCGGCAACTGGGCTCCCGTCAACCTTGGCGTCGGCCAGAACAACGGCAAATGGCTCTCCATCTTCCAGAACAGCCCCACAACGAACGCAAAGCTTGACTTTAACATTAAGATCAAGGGTGATAACCTCAGCGGCTCCTGCAAGTACGAAAATGGTGTCTTCTACTCCGAGACCGGTAGCAGCAGCTCTGGGTGCACTGTAAGTTCGAGTCTCCCGGCCATGTTGAGAATAGTTGACTTACATACCGTCTCCAACAGGTCGAGGTCATGTCTGGTGATGCCACCTTTGTCTTCTACTAGAGGATGAAGTCGTCCAGCTTCTAGTGCGTGCCGCCGTTGTGCGTAGATGGTAATGGCCGCCTCACATGTTCCGCCAATCCTCCGTGAGACAAGACCATTGAGCGCCGCTCATCCGCCTCATGAACAATTACCCAGTGTGCTTGCTTTCTTCTGTGTATCTTACTATATTACCTTATGTGGCGTGAACTCAAGTTCTTGTCACATCTTGTCATGTCTTCGACCTTTTGTTAGAGACATTGTGGTTAAATTTTATTCTCCAACTTCAGAGCCAAGTATCCCGGTTTATTTACCCTCGTCTATCTCAATTGCACAGTGTCGCTTCCTGCATGTTTTGTCGTGTTTCAGAGGTCTTGTCAATGACTGTCCGCCTCTTGTCTTACGTTGTGCGAAATGTTCAAATTTTCCAAATACTTAGAATGTAACCATCTCCTTTGCACTGAGCTTGGAGCAAATTTTAGACATAAGTAATGTGCATCTTGCGTATCCTCCCGGCTCAGCCCAATAAACCCTACTGTAAAGAGGTATATAAGGGAGGAACATTCCACCACAGTACAGTTTGGCTGCGATACGCATGACACATGCAAAAGTGAGCAGTTGGCAATATTGATGGTAATACACTGTATTCTTTGGGTGGAGAAGACAACATCAGTTGGGGATGGAAGGCTGGGAGTATGGTGATGGCTGCTGCAGCGTGCTGCGAGTACCTACGCATTGTGTAAATGGGAGTAGACGAAAACATAGAATCCTAGAAATGCTTCCTGTTGGCTTGAGTACCACGGTAGCAGGCATGTTCTATGATATGCCGCACGGAACTAAGTCATTTCTATGCCAAAGAGCTCCTTTGGCAGATACTGACACCGCTGCTGCTGTCCTTAGACTTGGAGGGAGTCCGAATGACAGGGACTATCTCTCTTGTCAAATTTGCTTTTCAACTAGATGGGCCCAAGCTGCTGGCCTCACATCTTCCAGGGTGTCATCAGTAGGTAGACTAAGCAAGGCACGAACAAAAATGCATGGTACCATCCAATGGAGCGCGCATTCCAGCAAAGCGGCGCAGGCACTGACCGACGGCTGACCATATATCACGTGATCATGCGCGAGTCACGGGGACTCGAACCATAGAACGCGGGAGCATATGAGGCTAGACGCGGCGGACGCGCCTTTTGCATACACAACACAGATCTTGTATGCAGGTATGAGCCATTGAGGCATGGTTTCTATCAGCTCATGCTTCACCCTTTCTATCTTTTGCTTGGCTTGAGAATCTAAAGGAGAATCATGCAGTACGACACATAGTTTGAAATGGCCTTTCAGTGAGGCTGCGCGAGGTTAGCGGTGGAGCTTCTGAGCCCTTGTCGGCGCCTATCGAACGCGTCTCAGTCTGTAAGCGTGCAAATCCGCGCTGGAAGGACGAGACGTTCCGCTCCGGCAGGCATTCCTGCACCACACACCAACTTTCACCCTTTTCTTCTATGCCTCGTACTTGTTCTTTCTCGCAGGCCAATTCTCTTGTGCTTCCCAACCTCCTGGTCGTCATCCTGGGGGGAAGCTTCAGTTCTTTCCTTTTTGTCTAGGACAAGCTTCTCTCTTTCCTTTATATTGCTGTCCTGTGATTATTGTGCCATAGAAATAGGCCCCTACGCGGCCTCGACGCGAACCTCAGTCAATATCTTCTCTCATTAGGAGTTTGCTAGAGGTGCCTAGAAGCTTTTTTTGTCTTTTGTTTTTATCTTTCAATTGATTTGGTCAAAGTCCATAGCATCATGGAGTCTTCTCCTCCAAGGAGCAGTGCCACTGCTTCTGTGGTAGGTGTGAAGCGTCCTGCGTCCTTGTTGCCTGCTTTCGAGCCATTGAGCTCGTCTCCCTCCCTTCCTCGGCCACAGAAGCGTGTGGCTCGCGATAGCCATGGCATAGTATCAACCTATCCTACTCCTGTCCCGACCTCGTCGACCCATATCATGTCCTCGTCACCGCCTCGGATGGCATTGTCACGGTCTGCATCACGTCGTACTATTGCTCAGTCAGGCTCCGAACGCACTCCATTGTCGACCGTCCCAACACTGATGCTTCCTGAGAGTGGAGAGCCCATTTTGATGGGGAGGTCTAGTGCATCTTGTCACCACCAATTGTCCGCCAATCGGATGATATCGAGGGTTCATGTCAAGGCCACCTATAAACCGGCACCTAACCCATTTGATCGTGATAGGGTGGAGATAATGTGCATGGGGTGGAACGGGGTTAAGCTTCTCTGCCAAGGCAAGACATATGAGTTGGCCAAAGGGAAGACGTTCACGTCCGATATCAAAGATGCGGACATCATGGTGGATGTCCACGATACTCGTGTGCTCGTGCAATGGCCACGGAATGAAAGGAAGGACTATGCTTCAACGGACTCAGAGCAAACCTGGGAAGAGACAACACCAAAAGGCCCCAACCAGTCTCGTAGGAGCCTACAAGGCAGTCCCCTTGCCGAACGACAGCGTCTGGTTTCCCCCGTCTCTCCGTCACCTGCGGTGCAGTCACTCGTTCCTCCATCCTCGCCTTTGTTTACTCCTACCCGCTCGCGAAACGCAGTGGTTGTGTATGAAGATGAAGCATCTCCAGTTCGTCGTGAGCTTTCTCGAGATGTGTCATCGCCTCGAGCCGCCCATGAATCCGCACGTCTGGCGGATGTTCTCCGAAGCTCGCAGTCCAGCGATCTGAGCGACCTTAGCAGACCCGATGAATTCTCGGACCACGACGAGGAGAACGACCCAATCATTCACTCCTTCGGTCCTTTCGGCGACAACCTCCTTCCCCGCATGGCATCTTTCTCCGCAGATGAATCACCACTGCGAGGCCCACGCCCTTCTCGGCCTCTTCAGCCTACTCAATCTCCCAAACAGCCACAACGACCTTCCGAGAAAGACAGCTCGGAACGCAAGTCAGGACTGACTGACGAGACCTATGAGAGAATCCAGAACCATGCGGCGAATCAACTTGCTTTCTCCCGCCTGTCTTCGACTCCATTCTCAATTATACTAAATAATCTTCCTCCGGCTCTGTGGAAGCGGGATGACCGGTCCAAGCAGGGACCTTCAAGCGAGGAAATTCGCGCCATCATAGAGTCCACCAAATGTATTGGCAAGGTTGCACGTGAAGGAAAAGATGCCGCCGGCAAACCACTTGAAAGCGAATACTACTATATACCTGACTTCGACGACGATGATATGCGACGTGAAGCAGTTGTGAATGACCTCAGGAAGCCAGGTCTTCGCAACTGCCGAAAGCAACATAAGGTATGCTTCAGGTCCTGACTGATCGTTAGTTATTAATTTGCTAATTTTTGTACAGCAATACTTCTGGCGTAAGCCAAAATGAATCAACTGTGTGAAGTCCAAGATGGCGTCGTATTCGCCGACATCCCGATTAAAAGATTTGCGGTAACCGTTCTTAGTACATAGTTCCATTACCTCTGTTTATTCCTTGTGTTTTTTGCAGTTCGAGGACTCGCATAGCGTGGCGTGGGCATACCCTGTTTGATTTTTTCATGTTGTATGAAGGTGTATGATGTATGGTGGACCGTTCTTCTCATCTAGGTATGATGCCTTGTTTGTTTAATCTGCGCCTCAAACAGTTGAGGTGCGTTCTTTTGTACTCGTGCGATTTCGTACCACGTCCCTTTCCTGACGATCGGGCCTATGATGCACGCTGATGGTTCCAGCATTGTCGTTCATATGGATATACTGAAAGTATTGCGTGGACCGAGCGTCTTTGCAAAGCTTCTTGTCAGCAAAGATGTCTCTTTCCATGTACTAGATGAGCTCGGCTCTTCAATAACTGTATGGTATGAGGTCTCGTCCAAGAGAATAAAAGTATTCATCACTACATTACCTGCCGTCCTGACTTTCGAACCATTTGCTTTCTTTCATAGAGGTACTTGTTACACTTTCGATCCATTTTTTATCCGATCAGTTGAATCAGCTCTTCATAACTAGTATCACGTGACAATTGTCATACAAGGAATTGTTGGCGATAACGCATCATCCCTGCTCGCTCTGATATCATTTGCTGTTGGGCCTAGAGAGGTACCTCGCGGGGGGTGCTGTGGTAGAAATAAAGAACTTGTCACTATCTTGTACCTCAAAAGTCTAATATCCGGCCAATGTAACTTTCACACAGTCGCCACAACGTATGACATAGCATGACATTTCCGTCACTCTTCTGGCACCTATATTAATCCCTCTAAACTGTCATACGGATGTCTGATTTTCTTTATGTCTCGCTAATCTAAATTCACTTTGGTGTGTGTCTGGAACACGGTCATTGTTATATTCAATTGAGTAAGTCATGTCCCTTGACAGTCACTGAACTAATGCCTAACCCATTACGTTTCGGCAAAGGCAGAAGAAGCCCCGCATCAGTAGTATAGTCCAGTTCTATCCACAACATCGTCTCCCAACAGAGCAATGTCGTCCACAGGCCATCAAGGACCGTTCGCTGAACCCACCTCTGAATCTCAGACTGTCCTGCTCCCTGCAAACCCGTCCGTGAGCCGAAGCAGTGAGCCTCTTCCCAATCCACCAAGTGCCAGTTCTCAAGGCCGCTCCTCGGAGAAGCAATGGAAGCCGACGATCAACCGTCAACAGAGCTGGAGTGAGCAAGATCAGAAACATGAGCTTCAGTCTAGGCTGCTAGCAACAGAGAGAGGGAAAGAGACGGGGTTCACGGAGATATTGCAGGATATGTAATATGTAGCAGTCTCTTTGAATCTATCTTTTGAGCCTTGTTCTTGGTGATTGCTGTTGGACAACATAGCTTGCTAGCTCAGTAGGCATCTGCAAAGGGCTTGATTTCTATGAACATGAAAGCGTGCGTTTGTTCACCACAAGAAACAGTAAAAGCGATGTCCATATCAGTCCGTCATCAAGCAAGAGCATGACCAAAAAAGTACAGCACCTTCGCTATGCTGGAATTTTAATCCTAGTATTTCTCTAATACTTGCATTAAGTTGCATGGAATAAAAAACTAGAATGAAAGGAACGCACTGAGTTAGGGCATTAAGAGAGCGCTTTGCTGGAATTTATAGTAAGTGGAAGGGCGAACTCCGTAACATCCCAAGGGTCCAGTTTCACTGCCAGGACCGCCTTCGGATCCCACTTCGCCGCCGCAGTCAGGCAAATAAGAGAATCATCTTCATCTTCAACAAACACTTTATAACTTGACGCACTGAGGGCGTCTAGCTGTACCATACGCTGCGCGCCATTTTTCACCGTGCTTCACCAATGTGGCATTCAAGTCACTTATGCGCTTTCCTTTCGGACTCTGAGAAAGGACCCCACGACAGTTAAAATCGCTGCGGACAGCAGCCGGCAATAAGAGATGGAACGTCAGAGAAAGCGTACGCATTTTCTTTGCATAGCACTTGGAGCCAAACCAAGCTCTATTTGATATCTGACAATTCTGGCATATCTAGGGGAGCTCCGTGACCTGAATGAACGAGCCTGGGTTGGAGAGAGTGGTAATTACCTCCCCATTCAATGGCAAACTCCGCTGGACGCTTTCCTCTCACAGTAATCTAACTACGTATCGAACTAATTTACAGATCTCTTTCCGGTCAGCAGTTCGCTTGATTCGTCGCTGAAGAAGAATACGGCCTTTATCAAGCGTCTTCGAACAGGAATCAATGCACCAGTCCTGCAAACCTTCTTGACTGATATCCGCACTTTGTCGCTCCACAAGTACCTTTCCGAGATCATCTCCGCATGCTACGAGGGTCTCTGCAAACTCAAGTCCCCGGGGGAGATCGCCGCGGGCGTGGAAGTCACAAGCGCACTGCATCAGCGATTCGGACCCGACGAGTTCACGAGGCAAATCGGTTGGTTGCTAGGTCGCGGTCTCAGCACACCTGACAAGTCGCAGCTCAGAACCCTCAGCCAGGAGTTGCGCGAGCGTGAAGAGAAAGAAAGGCTCTCCAGACATCGGATACTGCTTAGGGTGGTCACGGAGCTATGGCTTGTCGGAGTTCTGAGGACCCTGGACGACATCGAAAGACCGGATGACCTGGGTGCCAAGGGCAAGGATGGTGTGGTCAGTATCGGTGGAAAAGCGACAGACGCCGTGTCTAAGCCTAAGGCGACGCCATCTGCAGCCAAAGATCACGACAAAGAAGCCGAGCCGTTCCCCCTGGAGGTCTTGAAAGATCTCCTTGGTCACGACCGTGATCATGCCAATCTGCCACTTGCCGTCTTATTTGCCAAGAGCTTTAGTTGGGATATTCTCGGAGCGAATCTGGTCGACGAGAGCCGGAAGACGGTTGATGCGGATGGGACCACGACCTCTGTTGCTCCTTCAGAGACAGTGAATGGTGGAGACGATGCGACGGCCGCCGAGAATGACACCCCGCTTGTGCCGGAGAAGACGCAGCTTCGCTTCAGGAGTATTCTGAATCGGTATCTCGAAGATGTCAAGGCGCACGTCGTTCGCGACCAGAGAGCATTGGCAGCGCAGAGTCGTCGAAATGCGGAAGTCTACGTCAAGAGTGGCGAGATATTCGAGGACCGTCAAGCAAATTTTGACAAGCAGAGCAAGTTATTGGAGAAACTGGTTGCAAACACTCAGGTGCTGTGCGAGGTTCTAGGAGTGGAAATGCCAGCCTTGGCTGAGCAAGAAGCGGCTGACTCTGCTTCGAGTGGTGGGATCGGCCTTGTGAAGACGTCGGAATACCTGCGTGGCCAGGGCGAAGGTCCCGGTATTTGGGAGGATGAAGAGGAACGCCGGTTCTATGAAAACTTGGTTGATCTCAAGGGAAAGGTACCGTCGGTCCTGCTTGAAGATGGTAAGAAGAAAAAGTCCGACTCCGACGATGCTGCGAAGAAAAAGACAGACGGCGAATCTACTCCCGATTCCAGTGCAGAGAAGCCTGAGAACGCAAGCCAAACACCAACACCGGAAGAGAAGTCTGCTGCGGAGGCGGAAGATCAGTCTACCGCCATCGCCAGCAAGACCGTTGGAGCTCAGGTAGACGCTCTCTTGGCTAGACTCCCTGAGCTCCAAACAAAGGACCAAGTTGATCAGCTGGCACTCGAATTTTGCTTTCTTAACTCCAAGGCGTCGAGGAACAGGCTCATCAAGGCTGTGTCAGATGTCCCAAAGGGTCGAGTCGATCTTCTGCCATTTTATTCTCGACTGGTTGCAACCCTCGGGCAGTATCTTCAGGATATTCCTCAAGGCCTAATAACGTACCTCGACGAAGAGTTTCGCAGTCTTCAACGTCGGAAGTCCAAAGAATTCCTTGGCCAGGTTCGGATGACCAATATCCGTTATTTCGCAGAGTTGACCAAATTCGGTGTTGTTCCGGAGCACATTATCTTTCACTGTTTCAAGGTTTCCCTCGACGACTTTTCACGCATGAACATTGAGATTATTGGCCATCTTCTCGAAAACTGCGGACGCTACCTGCTTCGGAATCCAGAAACATCCCCGCGGATGGCCTCGTTTTTAGAGAAGCTTGGCAGGAAGAAGACAGTCCAGCATCTGGGACAGCAAGAAAGAATGATCATCGAGAACGCAATGTATTATGTCGACCCGCCGCCGCGACCTGCTATTCAACAGAAGGAGCGCACGCCTATGGAATCCTACATCCGCAAGCTGATTTACCTCGACATGAACAAGCGTAATTATACCAAAATCCTGAAGTCGATTCGGAAGCTCCACTGGGAAGAACAAGATGTAAGCACACCCTACGCCCCTTCTCCGTGTGCGAGCGACACAAATTGCTAATCTCTTTCACCAGGTGGTCGATATCTTGGAGCGTGTCTTCAGTAAGCCGGTCAAGGTCAAATACGGCAATATCCACCTTCTCGCTATCCTTGTCAGTGCACTTTATAGGTATCACCAGGACTTTGTGATTAGTGTTGTAGACAACATCCTTGAGCAGATCACGCTGGGACTCGAACAGAACGATTTCAAGTTCAACCAGAAGCGTGTAGCTGAAGTGAAATACCTCGGGGAGTTGTACAACTACAAAATGATCGACTCGCCCGTGGTCTTTGATACGTTGTACCGGATTGTCACTTTTGGCTACGGTAAGCATCATTGGATTCGTTGTTTTCTATTACTCACATATTATGTAGAAGGTGGCACTCCGATTCCTGGAAAACTCAACCCATTAGATCTACCAGATGATTTCTTCCGGATTCGCCTGGTTTGCACTCTGCTGGACACTTGTGGTCACTGTTTTGATCGTGGTTCTGCTAAGAAGAAGTTGGATTTCTTCTTGATCTTCTTTCAGGTACTGCTTCTTCCCGCTCGGTCTTCGAAAGGAGTGGTTGTCTAATATTTTCGCAGTACTATTATCTTACAAAGGACCCTTTGCCTATGGACGTCGAATTCTTGATCCAGGACACCTTCGCTATGGCCCGTCCTCAATGGAAGTTGATGACTGATTTGCAGGAAGCCACGCAGTTGTTCAGTGAAGCAGTCGCCCAGAACTACAAGACTCAGGATTCCGAGAGGCCTATGGAGCCAGATGAAGATGATGCAGAAAGCAGCTCGTCTGATGACGGTCTTGAGGATGATGCAATTCCCGAGGCTGAAGAAGAACAAGAGTCGAGCGACGAAGCTGAAGTGAGTTTCACGTCCATCAGGGCAAGGTTGCCCCAAGAATCGTCACTGACGCTATAAATACAGGTCTCTGGCCCTAATGCCGAGCAAGATACTGACAGTGAATCCGACGACGAGCAGATCTTTGTCACTCGTCAGGAGGAGGAGCGTGATCCTGAAGTTGAGGCTGAGTTTGAGCGCGAGTTCGAGAAAATGATGGCGGAGAGTATGGAGTCTAGACGGTTCGAACGCAAGGCTGTGTTCGATATTCCTCTGCCCATGAGGCGTGCCGGCCGTGAGGCTTCGGCGGGTGATGCAGTGACTGAAGCGCCTCCCGAGCGAACCAGTACAATGGCCTTCTCTTTGATGACAAAGAAGGGAAATAAGCAGCAGGTTTGTTGCACTTCTTAACCATATGCATTTCATGTTGCTAACAAGCCATAGACTCGTACAATTGATCTCCCATCTGACTCCAGCTTTGCAATTGCCATGAAGAGTCAGCAGCAAGCGGACCGTGAAGAGCAGCAACGCATCAAGAACTTGGTGCTCAATTACGAAATGACTAACGAGGCTGAAAACAATACTGAAGGTGAGCATCGCTCTATTCGAGCCAGTGTTCGTTATCTGACTTGCGTTTAGTGCCTGAAAAGCGTACCCCCCCGAAGCTTGACAAGCCTGGCTCGAACCGCACAGCTTTCCGGTCTAGAAAGCTCCAACTCAGCGATGTCATTTGGTAGTGATCCTCTGTTCTACAGCTGGACTTATTCGGCTGCACATTGCTCCATAATCCCTCATCGGTCGATGTTTGAGGCGGTTGAGTGCGCTTCTGCGCATCAACTTCGTTATCGCCAGCGAACTTCTGATGAGTGGCCATTGAGTATCACTACGTCGTGTGATTTTGACCTTGGACATCTAGTGTTGTCTTACCTCCGCATGTACCCAGCGTACACTACTGGAAACACTCCATGCCCATGCTACTCGACTATCGAGAAGTCTTTGTGAGGAGCATGATATAGCCTTCGTATGGTATGGTTGATGTCACGGATTGGATTTCGGCGGGGATAGTTGTGGTCGTTATCGGGCTATTATGCTCTACGGTCTTGTCTTGTGGGGTCGAATCGCCACAACTCAAACGACAATGGCTTTAAAATGCCAGTCTTTGAGTCCGTGAAAACTGGAAGCAAGATATGGGTGCCGCTGCTTAGCAAGCGCGGACAAGGAGAAGTCATGAGGCTGGAGCCGGGTCACCGTCTTCAGCTGAAGCATCTATCCGCTTTGCGTGTCTTGAACACTAGATTGCAATAGTCCAACGAAGTATTGATTTATCCGAACTCATATTATCGAACCCCGTAGGGATAGATCAGAGACACATGATACGGGGCTATGGTAACTCCACAAAAGGCTCTATTTTCTATCGCTCCTCTTGCTGAATGGCCAGAACATAAAGTACAATAAGTTACATGATGGAGTAGGGTAATCAAGAGAAAGAATCAGATGCAGACCAAAATGGAGATGATGAAAAGAACACCCAGACGGATGGAAAGGAAATATCGGTCATTCCGTTAGGAGATAGTGCAGGAAAGAGAGCGATGAAGGTATAGTAGTACACGGCCTGAATCCCACACGTCCCACCCTTTCTGGACCGTTCAACTGTTACGAGAGAAATTTTGTTCTGCTCGTCACATGTATTAATCTATCAAGTTTGGGACTGCTCATTTCTCCGTCTGCTGGGCCTTGGTGACATCGCCGTTCTTGCCTTCGGTATCGTGCCAGGCCTTGGGAATGAGGTCTTCGCTCTCAGCCTGCTCAGCCGTCTCGGCAACTTCCGACTTCACCTGAGCGTGAACGTCTTTTGCGCGGGCCCGCTTTTCTTCCGGGTGCGAGGAGGCATCGATCTCAGCGGCGGGGGTGCTGACGGCGGGGGAAGCGGGCTGCTCGCTGGGTTCTGAGACGCCGGCTGCGGTGGCAGCTGCAGCGTCGGCCTCCTCGTCATCTTCGAGCTCGGCACCGTAGACGTCGGGGTACCTCCGGAAGCACTCTTGCATGCCCCTGTCACATTAGAAGCGTTGGTTAGTACATGACTGCATCCCGAGCGATATATCCAGGAAGGTCAGGATAGAACGAACTTGAATTTGTCAATGCAGTCCATGCCCTTGGGTTCTTCTGTGGAGTACACAAAACAGCTGAACGCAGCCTTGAACTCCTCACCGCAAGGACCATGAGCCATGCCACCTAGGCATGGGCAGTCCCAGTTGATCTCGCCAGTCTCGGGGTTGAAGGCGGCTTCCTGGCTGGCTTCGTCTTCGAGTTCTTGGGGCGACATCAGAGCGGCTTCTGAGGCGGGTAGGGCCTCTTGCTGTGTGGGCTGCGCATCCGGTTGCGAGACGGCCTTCGATTCTGCTTGTCTTTCTTCGCGGATTCTGGGCTTGATGGAGTCGAGGGTTGGGGGGTGGGTTTCATCGGAAGAATCCGGTGTGCTCTGCTTGGAGCGGAGGGAGACTGTGTCGTTGACCAAGATCAATTAGTATGAGATTCATCTTACATGTGTAAAGCAGTTTGCTATTATCAGAATCTTGCTCGTTCAGACGCAAGGTCCTAATTGGGTAGGAAAGGAAAAAAGCTATAACCGAATCAAAGGTAACGATCACAACCGGGATTTCGCACATACATGACGGCTGCTCGGCAAAGACATTGCTCGTGTTATAGTAGTATACAGCTCCGACGGCCAACCCCAGACGGACAGCGGTATTCTTCCAACTCCTCGACTTGGTGTTCGGGGGAGCAGTGCTTATCAATCGTCTGCTGGCCGGGCCGCGGGCTGCGACACCCTGCGCGCGGAGGAGAACTCTGGTCGCGGGACGGAACATGATGCGGAAGGGGTGTGAGAAAATGAAGCAAAGAAATATGAAAAGTAAATACGAAACCGACTATGCAGACATTCAATCGGTATGCGAAATCGAATTGAGAAGGATATGGCCGGCCAGACCGGTGCGCGAAGCGGAGAGAAAGACGATGTGGACGAATTGGTGATGTCCTGCTGGCCTGAGGCTCATAAATTTCCACTTTGAGAGTGTGGTGGGTGGTCACGTTTCGATCTGGCCAATCAGATGATGTCCATATCTACTTCCATCATCTTCTTTTTGCAGGTGCTTACCATTATAGGAGCTGCGCTGATTAATTCAGTCTTCAGCTCATGACCTTGATGACTGACTTGATGCTTATGAGGCTGTTATGTAAAATTAATCTCTGAAATAAAAGAGAGATGTTTAGTGCTAATGAAAGTTGGGATGCCATAATGATACATATATGATGTGAATGAGAACATCAAGATCGAAGACTAACCTGCCAATCTTGTGTAGTAGTAGATGAGAAGTGAAACTGTCAATGTCAAGGCTTCTTCGCTAGATTCTCTCGTATGAAAAGCCATTCTGCTTGCCAGATCAACCATCACCAGTCCCTTTTGAAATCTACTACATCCAGGTTAAGCCCCTCCATACAGTTTTTTAGTAAAGGTAGACTTTTCCCAATTGCGGCAGAGAATCGTTCTTCAACTCAATCTCTCCCAACCCCAAAGATAAATTCAGCACTTATGGGTCTCAAGTTGGGAAAGTGATCGCCTGTCTTACCAGAGATACTGAGATACCCTTGAATGCCAGTGGGTGACATCACTGCAGTAAGAACATCATTGTATCGCCATTCCAGCCCGAATACCAGTGCAGCCAGACACAGATTGAGCTCGATTTCCCCCCAGACGAGAAACTGATCAAATCATCCTGGAAATTCAACTTATCAAGCGATAATGTCAACCGAGTGGGATCCAACTCAATTCTTCTGCGACTCCAGCGAAGCCATTGCTCCATTTGCTCTGCTCGTCCTCAACCAGCCAATCAATGAAAGAGCCTTTGCAGTCCTGAAGAAACATGGTATATGTGCCTGCGCACAGTGCAACCCTCGATACACGATCCCGCATAATCAAAACCGAATTAGCTAACTCGTTCCAAGCATGCTTCACCATCTGCGCCGACGGCGGCGCAAACCGCTTCTACGACATGATGCACAAGCAGGGAAGGGAATCCCAAGAGGTAAAACCACCTGTTCTACCACCAAGACAGCATCACCGCAGACCTAACAAGCCGGAACCCAGTTACCCAACATGATAATCGGCGATCTGGACTCCATCCGCCCCTCCGTGCGTTCGCACTACGAGGGCCTGGGCGTCCCCGTCCTTGAGGATCCGGATCAATACTCGACGGATTTCACCAAGTGTCTCAAGTACCTCCGCGCGCAGGCAGCTGAGATCATCGCTAAGCGCGAGATTTCAACGCTGTCGCCGTCTGCGCAACTGGAGATTCTCATTATGGGCGGCCTGGGCGGGAGAGTCGACCAGGCGTTCTCGCAGATCCATCATCTGTATATGATGACGAGGGAGGTAGCTGGAGAGCCGGCCATGGGGGATCTGTACCTGGTCTCCGAGGAGAGTATCACGTTTATTCTGCAGTCGGGAAGGCACACTATTTGCACGGCAAGAACCAAAAGGCCTGGTGTGTATCCTAAGCAGGCAGAGGAGGAATATTATATGCTGGAGGAGAACGTCGGGATAATTCCTCTGTCAGGACCGGCGAGGATCACGACGCGTGGATTTGAGTGGGATGTTAAGGACTGGTTGACTGAGATTGGAGGCCAGATTAGTACGAGTAATCATATCCGAGCTGATGAGGTGACTGTGGACACGGGGGTTCCTGTTCTATTTACGTTGGAGCTAGCGCAAAGATTTAAGAGGATGCGCTGATGGAGTCTCCAAGTTCCGAAGTTGCTTTGTTTTCTCTTTTCTGTTTGTTCAAATAGACCCTCGCTGGGACGGTGGTTGACACATGTATATATACCCAAGATACAATATATAGGAATCTGATTCGAAGACGTCGGTTATCCCGAATCTGTGGGCTAGAACTGCGAGATTCCATATGTTTGAAAGCCGTAGACTAATATATTAATCAATTGATTCCGTGACACCAAAACCAACAAAGTGGATCGAATATACTGAGTATAGTGACAAGAAGACGACAATCCAGAGATACAACCAAGGCGCCTCCCTCTGAAGCGAGTACAGAAAGGACCAAAAACTGCAGCAAGACCCAGACAGACATCACGCCATATTAAACCCCGAGAAGAAGATATCCAAGAAATGAGCTTCGACTCATCCTGACACCTGAGTGGAGCGAGAAGCCTCCTTGTTCAACTGTCCGACCCTCTTCGCCCTTCCATCATTTTCTTACCGTTGATTTGCTGATATATTGCTTCTCATGAGGCCGAAAAGTTTGCGCCAACCGCGTAAGAACGCATCATCCAACGCAACCTAGAGCGGACCCCGCCGCAAGACAATGACAAGCACAGATCGAAGCATATATATCTATATCTACTTGCGAAGAATAGCCTCGTAGAGAGTGCCAACAGTCCCAATTGCAGCAGTGGTAAGCATGCCTGGCCAGTGGAAGGGGACGGATACATTCACCCTCTCAATGGAGAAGTTGCTGTATAGACCCATAAAATTGAAATGATGCGCATAAACCACGTACGCAATGACGGCTTTGGTGATATTGAAACTGAGCGGATCGAACTCAGGACGCGCTTTGTGGCCCTTGCGCGTCTCAGGCACGGGACTCCCGCTTGCTTGCAAGCTGATGTTGAAAAAGTAAGCAAAGAGCAATGGTAGGAGGTAGCTCGTAAGCAGCCACAGGGAGAACGGGGCCCAAAACGCCCCATCCACAAGCATGAAGAGATCGGGTACCCTGAGAGCGAACTCAGGGCTATTGATCGCCGGCACAGCAGGGATAGTGGTCAGATAACGGATGGGGATGAGGTCTTTCATAAGAAAAACGCCTTCAACGGCCATCACGATGGTCTCCACAGCCCGTACGCTGCTCATTTTCGAGCGCACCCAGTTGGAGGATTCCTGTACGCCCGAACGGACCCACGCGTCGTTGATGCGCTCGCGCCATTCGGCGGTCTGCCGGTCAATCGCATCTGTGACCAAAGCAGGCGATAGTGGAGGCTCGACAGTAATTTGCGAGCGCACAGGGGTCTTGGTTACAGCAATGGCAGCCTGGTTCGGCGTCGAGGCCACCGAAGCTTCCGAGTCGTCCCTACGCAGCAAAGTCAATGAAACTGTCGCTAATGCTACATGCGCATATCCAAGGTATCGCGAAAGCCGGCCACGTGACAACGCAGCAATGCGACAGACAAGGAGCTAGAAAGGACATGAGAGGGTAGACACCTACGTCGCTTCAACATCCTCCTTCTTTGGCTGTGTCTGCCTCCTACGCGTTGTTCCAGGCGTGGCCTTCCGTGCGGCAGCCGTAGCTTTCTTCGGGGCAGGCGTGAGGTCGACCCCAACAGCTTTCTTGACCGGGGAAGTAACGCGCCCGGGCGATGACGACGACGCGCGCGTCCAGTATTCCTTCAACTCGGGAACATTGATCAGGATAGATTGGTTATCTTGGAGAAACTTGTCGAGCGCGACGGCCAGCGCGTCCTTGTTGCTGTAATCCGCATAGCTGCGCACAGATTAGAAGCGCTCTATTTTATTATACTGGGACTCCGGGAGCGTACTCATCAAGTCCAGCAGCGTGCGCGAGGTCGTTGACCTCAGACCTGCGTAGCTTCTTCAGCCAATTCAATCCGTTTGACATGGTGATACGCGCGGGTAGACGGGTAGACCAAGAGTGTGGGGACCATGCGACGGGCGCAGAACACAGAGTAAGGGATGGGTTGTTTATATATATACTGGAGCGCTTATCGAGATCGGTACCGAGTTCACGGAGCAAACAAGGTAAACAAAAGTGAAACCAGGGGAAATCGAGGGATTCAATCTAATAAGTAGATGGGGATGGAGAGAGACAGAGATGGTTGCATCACCGCCGGAGACAACAGAAGGCTTGACTGCCTGAGGGGGTGACTCGTGGGGCTGGGGGCGCTTTGTTTACATTTAGCCCGGGTTGTTGTGGTCGCGCGGTTCGGCAGCCTCGCCGTCATTGGCCCGGGAGCGATCAACATTCAATCCTCTCATTACGTTTCTTTGTTCTTTCTTCCCATTGATCTATTCTCGAGAACACGGTTCATTCATTCTATTTCTACTGGGGTTCTTTATCTTGTTTCGATACCCGAAGAGAAAGAGAGGATTGATCTATGGTACACATTGAATAATTAGGCACCGTCTAAGAGTCTATGCGGGAGAGGAAAGAAACAAACAAATGCCGTACCAAGACCTCTCCAGAAATGGTACATATACATAGCAACGATGACAGTGATGATTTCTGTCATCTTGTCATGATGCGCAAAGCGAGGAGAGGTTGGTCCGATGCAGAAGGGGAAAGGAAATCAACATGCCACAACCCCGCCAGAACGCCCTGCAAAACATAGCCTGCCAAGGCACACACATATGCTCAGGCTGCGATGCGAATATATCTACAAGGGGGTCCCCCTCTATTTAGTTGAAGATGAGGAGCTCGACTAAAGAGGTTCCGTCTCCCCAGTAGTCTGCCATGCCTCGAGCTGCTTCAGCAGATACTGGTACATGACCAGCATGGTCCCGCTTTGAATGCTGGTCCAAACGCCCCGTGGGCCAACCCCGCGAAACCAGCCGGAAAATCCTTCAGTCTGGTAGATCATCTTCAAACCAGTGAAGAATGACGAGGTGTCCAGGCGAGGCGTTCCAGGGGCCCGTACGGAAGTAGAAGCTCCTCCGGTGGATATCGGCCGGGAGTGAGTCCGGAGGCTCGATGTGGTTTGGCTTGAAGTATGCTGCCGAGGAGACTCCTTGGTAGAAGCGTGCTCAGCGGCGACCTTAGACGAAGGGGAAGAAGGCTTGACAGCATCTGGGTTCTGCTGTGTCTGAATTCGAGTCTTTACGACATCCATTGGGCAAGTGATCACGCCTGCCATTCCACCAGCCGTGGCAGCAGTCAAGACCTCTAGCCCCAGACCGATATCTCTAGACCCCACCCATTCTTTTGCGAGGCGGTGTTCCTGTTCGTAGAAAGCAAACTGAAGAGCTGAGAAAGGTAGATCACGGAAAATGGTAGCCTTGTACCCATGGAAGAGCGCAGAAAACCCTTCTTGTCGAATGATCGTTCGCAGCGCGTCTGAAGTCGAGCGGTAATTATATCCAGAATTGAAGTAAGGGTTGTTATAGCGCCCCTGGAGTTGCAGCCGTGTCTTCAACACCTCCGAGGGAACATATACAACAGAAGCGGCCAAGTCTGCGATGAACCCTAGCGAGGAAAAAAAGGATGTCAACATGATTGCACGTCGAACTTTCCCAGCGGATCATCTCCGACATACCTCCAGACAAATATGCCACATTCGCGTTGATCCCCGCATCCAACATCCGTCGCTTGGTGAATTCATATGTCCCGAAGAAAATGACAGTTCCTGGGAAAGAACCAAGGAGGGCGGGGGTTACACCACCATAAAGACCGCGGAAAAATCCTTCTTGTCGGTAGATGGTCGCATACGATGAGGTCATGGAGGTGTACTTCGGAGGAAAGGTAGGGTCGCCTTGTTGCCGAGTCTTGACCGTATCTAGCGAATGCATAAGCATGTCGCCGCAAGTGCCTCCGGTACCTCCGGCAAGCATTGCCTGTATTCAAAGAAAATCCATTCATCAGCACATAAAGATAAAAGGGCCCGTCGAGAGGGTCTTCCACTCAGATGCGATAACGCAGACTACCCCCATTCATCACGAGCCAGGTGAGTGCGACTATATTGACATACATGCAGATATGGAGGACGGGGCTCCTCCTCTTCATCCATCGAAGCATCTTGTCTTGCAGGAGCACCGTTTTCCCTCTTCATCGGACTAGCATTTTGAGAAGCATTATTGCCGCCGCTCTTGGCGTTCTGCGAGAATGATGACGACGTAGTTGAACCAGGTGTAGATGTCTCTGTCGTCGAAAACAAGCCGAAGACACGCGAGGTCAAGCTCATTGCAAGGACACCGCAATCCACCAGATCGTGGTGCGGGCCAGACCACGGGCGTTGAGATGCGGCGGCGTAGATTTAAGACAGCACGCCACCTCAAGCGAAGATGACGGGAAGATCAGAGCGAAAGTGAGAGTCAAGCGCAAAAGAATACAGTTCAATATTATACAAAATTTGAAGGGAATGGAGAGGCGAGGATCGGTGACATCGCACCTCTCAATATGCCGAACAAGATGAGAAGGGTGGTTGTTTCTTCCTATCGGCCTCTAGCAAACACCGCAAAAAGTTCCCAAAATTTCGGACGGTTTTTCCGCTTCCCTCCGCCGCCCGAACCCTGTGACCGCCTCAGGCACCATTCCGGTTCAACCCAGGAGAATATTAATCCTTTTAAGGAAGACAACTAGTAGGATTGCACACGTTCGGCAAGAATATCAAGAAATCCTAATATCACTATTGAACTTCCGAAAGCCGGTTGACAGACGTGATATGCCTATTTAGAACGATACAACCAAAACAGTGCAAATGGCTAATAGAGGACTAACGACAATCGACAATGTAATCGCACCGTGAATAAGGGTATAAGATGCATTGAAGATCTCATTGCATCTTGCACATCCAAGAGTTGCAGTACCTCTGCAAGAAACACTAGAGCAAAAGGAGGCTACGTCCTATGCCCACTTCCCCATGCACACTTCGGCCATTCTCGCATAATTTTCACCACCAGCTCCTATCTTCAAAACCACGAGCCAGGCCTGATCATCGCCAGACCAATGGTTCTTATATTCGTAAGAAATCATCAGCGAACGCAACATATCTGAAAGCAGCCCCAAGAAACTCCCAGGAAGGAGAAACTTGACAGGATCCCCCTGGAACCGCTCTTCATTACAGACATTGCGAGCATTCTCAACAATCCGGACTACTGGGGCTTCTTGGCAGCAGCGCCGGAGGTGTAGCGGCTCAGATCCGTGGTCTCGTATCCCTGGCGCACAACGTTCTTGAACTGTTCCCAACCCTGGCGAACTGCGGGAGGAGTGCTCTGGTGAGAGACTGAGGCATCGACTCTGGCGGTGAAATGACGGACAGCTTGCTGGACAAAAGAGCTCTGGGAATATCTGGCGCGGAAGAAAGCCAGATAGAGGATAAAGAGAACGATGCTGCCCTTGGAGAAGGTGAGTAGGGATACCACCAATCGGAAGAGGAGTGCCATCTCGAGCCCGGCAACAAGATCCATGCTGGTATCGTAATATTGCTTGACAAATCTCCCAATGGTATCCGCCAAAGGAGACTGCTTCGCAGCAGGCTTGGGAGAGCCAGGGGAGGATGGAGAGGCTACACCAGTCGCACCCTGGCTAGGAGGCTGCAAAGTAGGAATCAAGTGGGCTCGGGTATAGGTGGCAACGTGGAAAACGGAGTAGACGCTGAAGGGAAGCAGAGCCAGAGGGATCTGGCGAGAGTAGAGCCACACCAAAGCCATTCCTGACGTAACTTCGTAAGCCAAGGTTGTCCGAGAAGTTATTGTAGCAATGAACTGCCGAGCAACCACTCACCAAGGTACTGGACATTTTCGTCTCCAGCGAGCTTCAACGCAATACTGGGAACGCTGCCCTGGAGGCGGCCTCGGGCGATGTGTGCCTTGTACACAACAATTCCATATGTTCCAGCAGCCGCAATAAACGCCAGGCGATAAGTCACCTGTGCAGCAGAGGAGTAGTAGTTGAAGGTGACATAGGACAACAGATAACGGAAAACCGAGATGAGAAGCGTCACGTGCCTATAGATGGTCAGTGAACCTGCCAGCTAATGCTACTGCCTTCTTTGAAAGGGCCCTGGTGGTAGAATAGCAGGGCTTATATGCGTTGACGACGCCGAGCAAATTGAGAATGAAATAAATTCATAATCCGAGTCACTAACGGGGCGGATCGAGTGCTGTTTTTGCAATATGAGCGGTGACGTACCCAACAAACCAAGCAAATCTATAGGGTTCACGCCATCTTCGTCAGTACCCAAATAATGAGATCAATGTGCAGTGCAGTCCACATACTGTAACGTTTGAACAAGAGCCTTTAGCCTCTCAGGAAGTGGCAAGTTTGAGGGAGGTGGAGGAGCCATGAGTGCTGTGTGGATAGTTGTTATCTAAAGTGTTGCGTAGGCGGAGGATGCAGGAAGGACGGAAAGGTACTGTGAAGAGGGGTGGCAATGGAATAGCAGAGACAATTTTTCGGTATTAGGGCAAAATTCAGTTAATTGAGGCTGGCAGGCTCGATAATCCGTCGACAAACTGTGAGGGGAGGCTGGGCGGGGAGATGTTGCGACTTGGGGTGTGCGTCTAGTCTATATTAGTGGAAGTGGTTTAGCTGGAGAACGGGCCGGAAGCTCTGTGCGGCTCTACTCCGCCTCGTCATTGTTCGCAGTGACGTCGAGTGCTACCTCGGGATGATGCAACCGCTGGCCGAGTTCAATGCAAACCTCAACTTCTTCTATACAAGTTTTTGAACGACCGTGCGAGTACACAAGTCTGATTATCGTCGTCCGTCAAGTTTTTCGTCTGCTTTTCTTCTTAATTTTCCTTCCTTGTTGGTCGCTTCTCTGTGCTCCACTACATCATATCCCCAACAAGTACGGCGCAAGAAATCTAGCGAGAGAACCGAGATTACTTTTGACAACAACTTAAAATTGACAACTAGAACAGAGCAGACTGTAAAGGAAACAGGGCATCGAGAAGGATGGTCGAGGGTGAGGTATTTCACTAAAATGTGTAACGAAAAGGGCAAAGAGGGCAAGAGAATAGAATGTCACGAAGAGTGATTGGCCACATTGGGGAATAGGAACGAGGCAGACACCTGGTATAACGTAGGCGAAAAGTACATGACGGCGAAGTGGAAAGTGGGCGTAAGACAGCTGATTTCGACCTGAGCGGGCCACAGCCCTTGCTCATTCATAGCAGAGGACAACTCGAGCAAGCAGACGAGTTACTCGTCCGCTCGCGGTTCGCACGTTCCAACCCATCTTCCATTCAAGTCTCAATTGATGGAGTATCGATTCTTGCTGGAAAACGAAAAGAAAGGGTAAGGAGTTCTTTTTCTTCGTCCGCGTAATTAAATGGTAGAGTCGTTACCGGAAGAAGCAGATACGAGGAAGATAAGTTTCAAGGAGCGTGGTGAAACAAATAAACACACGAGAATGGAGAGAAGTCGAAATGAGCGCTCGATTAATCAACAGTCGTGCAGGATCAAACGTAGAGACACCTGTAGGTCTCCGATGGCGTTGCATACCTCTGGTGTTCCAAGGTAGTGCTCTTTGAAGAAAAAGATCAGAGATCCAGTCACTAGGCGGTAAAACTTTAACGGAGAGAAAAGCCCTTCCTCTTCCCCTTCTCTTCGATTGGCCTTCCACTCTCGAGCCGGGCTTTCTTCTCTTCCAGCTCCTGGCGGTTTCGTTCCAGTTGCTCCTTCATCTCGCGATGTCGCGCGTATAATTCGTCCTCGCTCTGTTTCAGCTTGCTTTCCTTCTCTGCAACCTTCTGCTGGAAGACCATCTTCATCTCTGCCTCCATCTTGGCGAGTTTCTGCTCGTGCAAAGCACGCTCCTCCTCCTGCTTGACTGCTGGGTTGACCTCCTTGAACACGCTTGGGTCCTGGGCGACACCCATTTGGGTAAGCTTGTCGGACCGGTAGTTCTCGTAGAGCCAGTTGTTGGTGTGCTCCTTGAGCTCTTCCATGTGAGTGCGGATCAGCATCTGGCGCAGTTTGACAAAGTCGCAGTGTTCCTCGTTGTCGACCTCAATGACACCCCAAGGATAGCTACGACCACGCACTTTACGGCCATCAGCTGTGGTGACCTCGGCGTTCGCACCAACAACGGCAAAAGGAACTTTGGACATAATCTCTTGGTTCTCGGCGATGGTCTCCTCGTCGTCAAGCTCGTAGCGTGGTCCCTCGAAGATCTGAATTGAATGGTGCTGGATATCTGCGAGAATCTAAAGGGGCCGACAGAATTAGTTACCAATTTGTGATCAATGAAAAGCGCGTGCTCCTTACTCTTTGCTTGAAGAGGGAAATCTCCTCGTCGGTCAATGTGTCGGCCTTGGCAATGACAGGAATGAGGTTGACCTTGGTGTGCAGTCTACGCATGACCTCAATGTCGAGGGGCTTCAGCGAATGGCCGGTGGGCTGGATGAAATAGACGCAGGCGTGAATACGGTTATCGACAATGTTTGTGCGGTTAACCTTGTTCTCCGCCTCCAGGTAGGCATCGTATCTCTGCTCGATGTTTTCGACGATAGGGCGCCACGAGTCATCATTGTTGACAAAATCACCAAAGCCGGGAGTATCGACCACAGTCAAGCGAAGACGGACACCGTTTTCCTCAATATCTGCGCTGATGGACTGGATCGAGACTGTCTTCGGGATGATGTCGTGACTCGGGCCGGTACGCTCCTTGGGCGGGTAGAGGGAGGTGTTGAACAAAGTGTTGACGAGAGTTGACTTTCCAAGACCCGATTCACCTATCCAATGAAGTCAGCAATCCATGATGGGCTCCTTTTTCTTCAGAATTGGCGTCGCTTCCGAATTTGAGTCGGAGAAAACTTACCAACAACCATCACGTTGAAGTTGAATCCTTTGCGCACACTCTTGCGGTGCCATTGGTTCGGCAAATTGGCGAAACCAACGTAGCCAGTCAGTTTGCGGCGAACAACGTTCTTCATGTCCGTGGCAGCTTGAGCCACAGCTTTTGGATCTTTGGAGCTGACTGTCTGAGCGTTGCCGGCACCCATGGGGTTGCTACGCTCAACGTAAGGAGATCCTGGGCTGCTAGGTGCAGGTGATTCCTTGACAGACACGGGAGTGCCATTGGCAGGAGAGGATGGTGAAGCTACATCATCCGAAGAAGAGTCAGCAAAGTTATATGTGATTCGGCCATCACTTCCAGACGGATAGGCCCCTGGCAGGAGAGAGGATAGTGAAAGTGTATTCGGTCCCGGCTTCTGTTGCAGCGAACTGACGGTCGGACTCGAGGATCCTAGTGATAAGTTCTCCTCCACAGTGGGATTCTCCAAGGCCACCGACATCGTTGTATTGTAGCACGTAGAACTCAGGAGGACAAGTGAGAATTGACGGGTAGTTGGCGGACAGATTGACACAAGAATGTAGCTCGATGCAAAAGAATATTGAAAGCGGGCTTACCCATTGTAAAAATTATCCGTTGATTCTAGAAGCGAGCGTGGGATGCAATCAAGGTAGCGAGCGTCAAGAAGGAAGTTCCCCTGAATAGCGCCTTCTGAATTAGCAAACAGCGGTTCCTACTGCACGCAGCTAGGGGAAGGAGGGGCACAGAAGGGAGCAAGGGCAATAAATAAATCGATGCCTCGGTCTCAAAGGTTTTGCAGAAGTAGGGAGGAGTTCCGGCCCCGGAAGTGCTATCCTAACTTACCACCGTTCACTGGCAAAGGGCGGAATCAGTCAACCACGAGCAGAAGATCACAGTGAATAACCCCAATCAAGCTCAACGGCGGTGTGGAAAAAGGTAGACACAATAACTGTTGTAGGAAAATAAAGTACTATGAAGGGAAAATTATTGAGTACAAATAAAAGGAAGGGGGCGTTGAACGAGAGAAGTGAAGCAACAATAATATGAAGAACCAGGGGAAACTGGGCCTGTGGAGAGTGATAGGGTGGAGGTCGAAGAAAGGTGGTCGCTGGAGCGAGCCATACTACTAACTAGATACTGCCAATCCGCCAAAGAAAGGGGCACTTCGCTCAATTAAGCAGAATCTTAGCCTCAAGCTTACTTGTTTTGAGAAACAAAACAGTATTGATTGATCTATCTAATCCTTTCAGGCATGAATCTCACGCAGCTTGAGCAAAAGACTTATCAATTTATACCATTCTACACAGCTTACCTCTCTAAAGGCTGGAGATATCCTTGCTTTGAGTATTGTCCCCATAGACATTGAACGCTTCCTGACTACTGAGAAGATTTAGAAATTCAGAAAAATAGTGAACTACAGCGCAATTCTATTCAAAAGACGCGTCTCTACAGAGTGTAGAACATCGAGTTAGGACTTCTTTTACGTTGCTCTGGAACAATTGAAATGACCTCGAGCTTTGATCCTACAGCTTTCAGAACATTACTGTACCGTCAACTATATAGGTATCTATGGTCCGACAATCAATAAGAGCCCCCACGGCTCTTATAAATAGCTTAGCGCATACGATTTACTGATACCAAGAATTTTCCCCCGATTTGACAACATCCCATCAGTTCATTCATATCAAGTGTATGTACGATTTAGCGAGCCATCTCTGTCTGGCCCCTTGAAGGTACGTGTACTCCATAATACTGATGGTACTGCGGTTACCTGTTCAATCAGGGGTAAACAACAGCCTCCCATGGAACCTCCCGTCGATATTCGAACGGAAATTTAACCACCAGCCAATCATTAACTTGATGAGCGGCCTGAGGCAGAATCAGATTCCCACCATGGATGGTCCATCGGATTGGTTTGGCAAAGTTGAAATCTGGGCAAGTGAATATTCATATTTTGATTGCTATATCCTTTATGCAATTGTTTTGCCAGATTCGGGGATACTCTGAGATCGGGATAGAGTTAGCGAAGATAAGAATTTACCGATATGGTGCCATCATCAATATATATCCACCTTATATTCCAGGTTCTTCAAGGCATACAGAACTATTCCACTGGCAACACACACCGTTGCGCAGTAAGGTAACATAGCAGCAGTATTAGGATGTAGTACAAATCTGCAGGCAGGGTTTGAGAGCACTTGATTAAACGATATGAGTCAGGTTGGACGCTTAACCTAGAAGCGAAAATTTAATAGGTAGTGCTTGATAAAGAACAAGTAGCGGTTCGAACTATCACAGAGCCAAAGACTTGACTGCTGCTTCTAATGTAGCTTTACAGAGATTTATATATTGCATACATAACTAGATTGTTCATCGTAGACAAACAATGCTGATAATTATGACTAAGGTGGACGCGGCTTGACGCACACTCATGAACCCTGCCCCAGCCTAACCTAAGCGGTAAGTCTGCATCTGTTGAAGTGATAGACCGAATCCTGCTTGGGGGAAAGGCCTCCCTTTCT